GTGCACGTAATCCAGGATGCCCCTCGTCTGATGAATGGCAGTCCCGAACTTCACCTTCGTCTTCTTGCCAAGAACACAGTGCTCACAGAACTCAATCTTCCCACTCTTGGCTCCCTTCAATAGCCCCTGCTTGCACAATGCCTGCAGTGACTTTTCACCTGTGTGCCCCAATCTATAGTGCCAAAGTCTGCTCATGTCCGCTTCTGAAATAGCCGAAGCAACCTGGCCAATCTCGGTGCTTCCCTTCAGATAATACAAATTCCGATTGCGGACTCCCCTCATCACCACCAATGATCCCTTAGTAACCTTCGCTACAGCGTTTTCGAAAGTCACCTTGAATCCCTTCGCCTCCAAAGCTCCAACTGAGATAAGATTTTTCTTCAGTTGAGGAACAAATCTCACCTCCTTTAACTCACGGACTACTCCATCGTGCATCCTAATCCGCACGGTACCTATCCCACAAACGCCACAGGATTGATCATTTCCCATGACAACAACACCCCCGTCGACTTTCTCAAAAGATGCAAACCAGTCTCGCCTAGGGGTCACATGAAAAGTAGCACCGGAATCCAGCATCCAATCTGATGCATCCACATGGTTCACCTCCGGAGTAATCAGTAGATAAAAGCATGAATCATCGGAATCATCGCCTTTCGCAATATTCACCTCATTGGCCTTCGGGCCCTTTTTCTTGCTATTCTCCTTCTCTTTGAGCTTCGGGCAGTCTCTCTTCCAATGTCCCTGCTCCTTGCAGAATGCACATTGGTTCTTTGTTAATTGGTGGCGGCCTCTAGACTTTGACCTCCCTCTGTTACCACCTTTCGGATATGGGCTTCTACCTCTCGTCGACAAGGCCTCTCCTGAAGTACTAGCGCGGGAAGTCTCCTTATCCTTCCTCCTCAAATCGTAGTTCGTCAAAGCGTTAGTCACTTCACTATAGCTGATAGAAGATCTCCCGTTTAACAAAGTGAGCACGAAGGTATCATACTCCTCATCCGGTAAGGAGCCCAACAAAATAATCGCCTTGTACTCATCCGATATCTTCTCATCAACATTCGCCAAGTCTGACAACAACTTAGTGTAGTTGTTCACATGAGCCGCAAGCGAGGTGCCTCTGGACATCTGAAATCTGAAGAGTCTTCGCAGCAAGTGCAACCTGTTCTCAACACTCTTTGTGAGATACTTATTGTTGAGAATTTCCCACATCTTCATCGCAGACGTCACCCCAATCACATCATACTTCAGCTCCTGTTCCAAACAGGACCTGATCACCCCACAAGCGTTCCTATTCATTTTCTCCCATACCGCCTCATCATATTTAGGTGGCCTCTCATGGACCATGATGGTCTCTTCCAAATTCTGAGCATTGAGCGCATCCTGTACGTCGCTCATCCACAAACCAAAGTTGATTTTTCCGTCATATTTCACCACACTAATTTTGGTGTTCTGAAAACCAACTTGTATTGTACTCGCCATCGATTTGCTGCTTTCACCTTCTTCTCCCATTGCGAACTAACTCCAAATTGTAGAGAAAGAACAAATTTGATAGAATTAGGAACCACCCAACTGAACCCTAGATCGGATTCCAAATAGATCTCCTATCCACACGAGGAAAGCGAAATCTCCAACGGCAACTCCTAATGCTATCTCCACCGAAGCCGAGAACTCCAAGAACTAAGCTTCACACAAGAATCTTCCTCCACCAAAAAACCCTAGATCTGAAATCTGGGCTCTGATACCACTTGTTGCGCGCAGCGGAAATTTCGGCAGCACTTCGGCAGCACAACAAGAGAGTCAGGTCGCAATAAGAATTCTTGTTTCTCAAAGGGAACAAGAATCTGAAGCCTAATATCCCATCAAAGTGGGATATTAGCTCTTCCTCTCGTCAGCTCTAGGACTGCGCGTCGAGGGACCCTAAAAGCTATTACAAATCACACAAAAGCAGTACAACCAATTTTAACGTGGTTCGGCAAATTGCCTACGTCCACGGGGCAAGGAGGGGGGAGATCTACTAATAGAGGGAGAGAATACAAATAGGGTTTACACAAGAATCCAACAAATAAAACCCTCACACAAAACTCTCAGACCTCTCACACAAAGACTCCTCAAAGCGAATGCACAAAACCCGTAAGCGGGGCGGTTAGTCAATCTAGAACTTAAAACTGGAACTGAGATAAAATTTGGATAACATTTAAGGGTAGTCACATAAAACTACAGATAGATATTTTTTTAATAGTTTTATGTCAAGTAGAATTTGAGAACTAGAAACTGTATTATTTTTTTTGGTGCGTTAGTAAGTAGAATTTTACTAGAATTAGAATTGGATAGATTGGTCATAATTATCCAGTCAAATAACTACATATATATATAACCTGATAAGTTCTCCTCCCTTAAATTATCACACATTGAAAGATCACAATTGGGAAAAAATAGTGAAACGCCGCCTCGCCTCCCTCTTGGTTAGTTTCTCCGCCTAAAAATTTCTCTGCCATGAAGTCATGCCGTTCATTTTTTCTGTCTTACTTGTTTTAGTGATGAATTTAGATCTTTTATTGATTACTCAAAGATGGTATATTTATCGATAGCTTTTGACAGTTAAATTACTTTATATATTATTTGTTTTGATCTAAGTTTTCTCTCCACAAACAGTGTTTATGTTAAGAATATAGTGTTGGTGGTAGTGCTAAAGATATCAGGCATATTATGCTTTTATAAGTAGAAAGCACTGCGATCACATAATTGATAATTCAGATTTGAAATGGTTATGGTGAATATCTATATATTATAAATCGGTTCAGTAAATTGATTGGGAATTAATAGTTCATTCTGTCGATCATTCTGTTTAGGCGGCCATGGATGATTCCTGTGTACATTTATTTATTTACTGATATGGTTTCAGGCGATCATTGATGAGATTGGTCCAAAGGTTAAATGGCTGACAAATGCTTTTTTTTTCTTTATGATCGTTATGAATTTAAAGCTTCAACATTTATGCTCCTCCGCTAGAAGCTCCACGAAATGTTCCTGATGCAGACAATGACTCCAATAAAGAAGACGAGTTTACAGAGCTCAACCGAGCATCTGTAGGAGCTTAGAGATAATTCTAATGGGCAAATGCCATGTGGGCATGTGATAGAAGGCCATGTGTGATGATGGAAGTCGAGTACATCTCTAGGGATTTCAGATTTTTATTTATTGTAAAATTATTTATTATTTGAGATGAATAGTGAATGCTTTAATTGCATTATTATTTATAGTATTACAGATTGCTTATCAAATATTATAGTTATTTTTAATATATTAATTATAACAAAGTAAATTTATACCCACGCATTACCCCCACTAATATATCCTACCAAATTATGCAAAGTCATATATATTTATCCTCATTATCCACCAATTATCCTACAAATTTAATCCCACTTTAAGAATTATCTCATAGTTGTTTCACTAAATTAATCCAAAACTGCAAAATAATTATCGCTACTTTACCAATTATAACCCAGTTCTACTTAAAAAAGTTCTAGTGATAACCCCGCCCTAAATAACAAAACAAGGTGACTGCTTCTTATTATCCTCCAGCCGCAAAGAATAACGCAGCGAAAAATTCAATTCTCCGTGCGCGTGCAGCACTGTAAGCCGCCACAAAATTCGTGTCCCTTGATTGCTCCCAAGCTCCGGAAAAAAATCAAAGATGTGCTCTGGCCTTTTTCTTCCAGCCCTCCCGCACTAAACCCTAGGAAAGCAATTTACTGTTCGCTTTCTATAGCCTGACATTGGATTAAAATCCGGGTGGCCTTGCTTTATTCAATAATCCGTGTTCCAACATACCCATGAAGTGTCGGTACGGTATGGCTATACGCCGCATGTCTAGTATGGGTACGACTTCATGATATAAGTACCCAGGCAACATGGGCAACCATCAACATCAACTTCATCTTTACTTATTCTTAAAAAAAATCTTCTTTACATAAAATAAGAACAAAGAAGAGATGGCTGAAGCTATTGCATCCGACCACAGGTGGACTAATTTGGTAAAATCAACATGAAAAAAAATGCTAGTCTAAGAGGCAATAACCATTAACAGAAACAAAATATATTCAAAACTTTCTCAATTTTAATTTGAAGGCAAATTCTAGCAACACAATGTTATTAACAAAGGCAAAAAGTTCCTTGCAACGGCATCCCTTTGTTTATCTATTTTTTGTTCGAGTATGTAATTTAAATCTCTTCTTCCAATTTTTAATTAATGCATCAAATTTACAGAGCCAAAAAATTCAAATATCTTCTCGACCCTCAGAATTATTGCGCTGCTGAAATCAAAGAATTCAAATCTTTTCTCAAACCTTCTAATTAATGCTTTCATACAAGGAACTCAAATCTGCTCTCGAGTCTTCAAATTAATTATCTCGAAAACACTAAATTCAAATCTCTACTCGAAACTGTGAATTAATTACTTGCTGAATGTAGCAAAAAATGCATCCTTTTGTGAAGCTTCCAATCCACGAACATGCAAACTACTCAAGTCTATAAAAGGAGAGGATGGTCGAGAGCCAAAAAAACACAAAGCCGTTCTCTAATCCTCGGGTCATACAAAGCCATTTACAAAAATTCAACCGTCAATGTCTCATACCAACCATACCTGGAACCGCACCTGTATCTCCTTAGCAGACATCTTATCCTGGAGACCTCTCGATCTCCTCTCAAGCATCAAATCTTCGGCTTTACGCCTCAAAACTGCGATAATCACCCTGCACTTCATCGCCTTCTTCAAGTCGAGCGACATTTCCTCGAGCCCATCTGGAAACCCTAGTGCAGGCCACCACCCCTTGTCCCCCTTGGGCCACCAAGGCAGCGCGACTCAGTTATCCAACTGGAACTTCCTCTGCGGCGGGTAGCAGCGCTATATAATCTCCCATATCAACCATGCCTAATATTGTGCTAGGGCGCTTATCCTTGAAATTAATGTATTTGTAAGATATTTTGTTGGAAAATTTTTTTCATATGCATCAACACTTGTTCCTCATAATTTTCCATGGTTGGTTTGTAGATCCTTGATGTTCCTCTCAGATTAGTACTTACATGTGCACTAAATATACTTATAAAAAGCAAAGATCAACAAATAAGTACTTATGGAATCACAAATTGGAAGAATTATGCAGATAATCATAGCAAGAAAGCTATAATTTATCATGTACAACTGACATAGATAGGTTTTTACGAGACTGATTCCGACCCATCACATTATTCAAAACTCAGACTTCAATAACCTCTTACTTCAACCAAACCCAAAATATCATACCTAATGTTCCCGATGTGAATCCATCCAAGAAGTAGCATAAACATAGATGCCACTCCTGCAAAATATGTCAACAGTGTTGGCTGGGAAAATGATGAGCCCCGTGCTTCTTGTTCGTAGACTAAATATTTGGCTTGCTCAAGTGTATTGCGATCATGAAACTCCCTTACATGTTTCGCACCATAATTGCACTCAAGTGTATTGCGATCTTGAAACTCTTCGCACCATAATTACACCTTGCAACATTTGTAAACCGAAGCCATGAGGATACTAATTATTCAGCTTGCTGACTATACACCGTTCTAAATACTCCGCCTATAACCAATATCCATTGGCAAGTTCCCTATCATGGTAAGGATTTGAACTAATGCCTTATCGTGAGGCAAAACCTAGAACCTGACTGCAAATTAGTGTGCATATAAATAAACAGAATGAAAATCAGACATGTCCAAGTTTATTATTGATTTTAATTCTTTCTTATGTTCTGCACCACAACTAGATTGCAAAATGCATGATAAAGGGCGAAGCCATTGGGATTCAATTGTAGAATCTGTCATGCATGGTATTAAGCATAGTTCTTCAGAAATGCCCACTTGCAGCAAACAAGCCCCAGAATCAAAAGCAGGGCTAACATTGTGATTGCATTCGTTACAGTAATCAATTTCATCCAGTCATACCCTGGAGTATTTCCTAATCTCTTCAGAAAGAAGTGTAGTCAAGCTAAAACCATACAAAAGCTAAAATTTCTAAATATATTTGTCTTTGAAATGAATATCCAGCGCTTTCTCAAGTTGTCTGTGAGGGCAAAATTCATAGAATCGTAATATTATAAACAAGGGCGACCAAGTTTCCTGCAATGAAATTCCATTGTTAATCCAACGTTTTTTTAGTATGGAAATTCAAATCTCTTCTTCAAATTCGAATTAATGTATCAATTGATAGAGCATATAAAATCCAAGTACGGGTGCTGGTGCAGGTACGGATATGGGTGCATGACGCGACAAATTTGTAAAAGGTATAGGCACTGAGCACGGATATATATATATATATATATATATATATATATATATATATATATATATATATATGTATTAAAATTTATAATTTACATTAGATCGTTATTGTTTTTTTATTTACATAAGATTAATATATAAGAAATATATTGGAAGTGCATATGAGGAGTGTTTTAAGTTAAACACGTATTATATAATTGAGTATAAGCTCAAATAAACATATGCATATATTCAAGAAGTGTCCAAGAGGTTTGGGTACAGGTATGGGTATGGGTGCGCGTTAGGTACGGGTACGGCTTCCCAATATAAGTACCCACCCAGGTAACATAGCAAAAAGTCAAATCAAGGCTATAAGGAAACAAAAGTCAAATCTCTTCTCAATCCTTTGAACTAATGCTCTGAGATACTGAAGTCAAATCTCTTCTCAAACCTTCAGATTAATGCTTTGAAGATGCAAAATTCAAATGTCTTCTTGTATCTTCGAATTAATCTCTAAAGATATAGAATTCAAATTGTGAGTGCGAGATAGTGTCT